CTTTTCCCTTCTCAATTTTTAGTTCATGTGTTTCATTTTAAACAGATTCACTTACATAAAGTTTATAATCTTGGAATCTTTTTCTTATTTTTAATTTTGTAATAGTATTATGAAATAGATAATTAGTGGGTATAGGAATCTCAATACAGGTTACCCGCATGAAGACATGAAGACAGGTTGTTTATGGCCTTGTACAATTGACCAAAAATAGCTCAGGTGGGTGCTGTGTTGATGTAGTGAAGCCTGAAGATGTCCACCAAATGTAGATTGCACTTGCCTGGCTAGCACTTGGGCAACTTGTACCTTGCCATCCTATCTTGGTACGGTAACCTGAACAATACTGAACTCAACCAACCTAAAACCATCCTATCATACCAATTTCCAATTACATACTAAGGATGGCAGAGAAAACCAGACAAAAGGAAAAAATCCAGGGCATAAGCATATGGAATTAACTTTACATACTGCCCCTAAGATTTGCATAGAACAGGTCATAGACATGGTTTTCGTGAAGACTAACCCGTTGGCCTGGACAGTCTGCATGGTTACAGTGTAATAATGTATCATCGGAAAATGATCCACATTGAATATCCAAAAAAGCTCCTTCTTAGGGTATTCAAGATGAAACTATCATGCAGAAAGACAAGAATTAGGTCACGAGAGGTTGGACAACATTACTTTTTCCCAAAGGTGGAATATTATTAACCTAAATAAACTCAAAGTAAAGACAGAAAAAAAATATTGAAAAGCCATCATAGAGAATCATATCACAAGCTACAATTTTTTTCCACTATTCCAGTGTTGCCGAAGATGGAGAAACATATTCATAATTTCATATCACAAGCTACAATTTTTTTCCGCTATTCCAATGTTGCCTTTAAACTTCATAGATCAGACACTTGCATAAACGCCCACATCTGACTCCTATTTTTGTACTTTATATAATTATCTCGTTAAAATTGATGATTCACAAGATTGATTACTTCATCCTGAGAATTCTGTCATGATGAATGTGGCACAAACATAAAGCAAATAATCAAGTACAGAAAGAAAACAACTATTGAATCCTTGGACAAACCAACAAACTACAGAATCTCTGAAAGTACAATAATTCTTATGAAATTTGAATCTTTAATTCCCATAGATCTTTATTGTAATCTAGATTCAAGGCAAAATCTACTAGATTAGCCTCATACAGCTATAAAGAGACGTGATCACTATAAAGCGATGTCATTTGAATTAGAATTAAAAAATAGTAATATATAAAAAGACATTATAAATTAAAAAAACAAATCAAAGATTGAATTTGGATGTCGCATAAATCTAAATCTTCTAACAAACAAATATATTTAACAGAATATAAAAGGTTACCAAATCATGACTTGCTTGGCGTAAATACTAATACAGAATAACAAAATATTGACTTGAATATTACAGTTTCCAGATTCTGAAAACATCTCAGAATAATGCATTTTGGTTAGCACTATACGTGTCTGTTGTAGATATGCAAACAATCAAACTGAACTTCTTACAGCTGATTTAGGACTGCAAAAATTGCCCTTGTTAATCCCTCCCAAGGCATCTAGATGTCTATGCATGAATCTTTGATTATTGATACATCAACAATCTCCAAATCAAACTACTTATTTAGCAAGATGACATCTACAACTCTACAAAGAATGATTGTCATGCCAGCCTGCACATGGACTATGTTGACACATCATGGCTGTATGAATATATAGTCTCCAGTGTAAAGTCAAGAACTTGTCACAGCATCAAAACACAAGGGAGAGTTGCAGAGATGGCCTAACACAGTGTGGCACAGCATAATGGCACACAACACACAGTGCAAACCTTGGGCTGGGCAGCTCAGCAACCCTAAATAATTTTTTCAATGAGAAACAGAGAAATTGGTAGAAGACACAAATCAACTCAAGCAATTTAATAACTTTTCATGCCCTCAAATGGTGGCAGTGAAGAATAGGTAAGCCAGAAATGTATGAACTGAACAGAATGCACAAAGAAATTTTCATTCTACAAATAAACTATCATACCAGTTATAATGACGAAGAAGGATGCATGCTGCATATCTTGGTATTGAAAGTACAGTAGATACTCTACTAATATCTTCCTCCTGATGTTGCCGAATATCAGCCTCACTCAGAATAGTATAGTTTTGCTGAAAACAGAAAAGTTCTGGCAACATTAGATGACAATGATATGTTCCTACCTAATAAAATTTCTTAAAATACAAGTTGACTCATTCCAAAAAGAACTACATTATAACTTAGAAGAATTTCCCAAACATTACCAAAAAAACAAACGCTAGTATTCCAAAAAGCCATTTTTTCAGGCTCAAGTACTCCAGAAAGCCATTATAACAGCATGCGTGTTCGGTCATGTTACCTGTCTTGCGTAAGGCCTGGGTGAGCTTAATATGCTGTAAAACAATGAATAAAAAGTATGACACTGCATGTTCAACTGCATATACCAGGGGCCACATTCAAGATCTATACATGAAGTTGTTATATCTAGGATTATGATTCACCTATTACTATTACACCTAAGGTTTAAACTCTCAACCCAGTTCTTATTTCAACACCTTGTTGGACCGGCACGCTACCCGTACGCAATCCTAGGATACCACGTAACAGCAGCTAATTTAATTCCTACACGCATCAAATCCAGCCCAAAGGTGACCACGCCACCAAAATCACCAAAACGAGTGCAATAGAAAAGGAAGGAAAAAGAGAACTATATAAGACTCTTTCACCTGCTGGCGAGAGGTGATGTCATCGGAATCATCCGACTCGTTGTCGCCGAAATCATAGTGGGCGTCCCCATCGTCGCTGCCCATCCCCGTGTCCCCACTGTAGAAATCGTCCTCCACCGACTCCAGATCGTTCGCGTCATGCATATCGTCCTCCGAATCCATCCCCTCAACCCACCGCCAAACCCCGCGCCCCAGGCGCCCCAGAAACCCTACAATTCCGCCGGAGCGGGCGATTGCGCGTCGAATCGGGAGGATCGGGGACCGAATCGGGGAGGAGGAGGAGGCGGAGGAGGGGAAGGGTCGGGCCGCGAACGCAAGAGGGTAAAGGGCGATTGGATTTGGAGTCGTGTGTGGGGGTTTCGTAGTGATGGATTCTCACTTTCCTAGGGAGGCATCTCTTCGCCCTTTTATACGGGTGGAGAAACCGGAATGACGGGTTGAAACCGTGAAAGATAATTTGGTAATTACATTAATGCAAATATATATATTAAATCGGAAAAATATTAATCTCACTTACATTTTATTTTTAATTTCTCTCATGAGTATGGGTTATTATTACAAATCAATAAATAATAACTTTATATTTAATTATCTTATAATTACAATCATTGTATATGTCAGTAATAGTATCATTTTTATCGATACAGTACAGATATATAGAGCTCAATTATGCCGTCTGATATTATCAAATTAAATAATAATATATTTAACATTTTTAATAATATTATATTGTTTTTTATTGTGATACCATCTTAATAATTTTTCTTTCTATTAGTTTGTGCTATTTTGATATTTTATGATTTGACAAATCGCTCTCATGTTTATTTATCATTAATTCTTTCTTACACTTTACATGTCTATTACACATATGAGGTATATCTTTCATATTGAAACTCGATTAAATTCATAAATACTTGAGTGTGATAATTGACATGAGTAATATTTATTACATATTATTTCATATATAAATGGAGCTAAATTTGTAAAAGAAATATCATTAAACTTGATGTGAATCAAACACAAATATTGTAATTACAAACTCAGGGCATCTTTGCCTTGAAGGTTATTCTTTCATGTTTTTGAACACTAATCTTAACTTAGAATGGAAATCAATTTGATGAACTCTCAATCAAAGTTCTTGGTGTTCTTAGAAAATTAGAGGTGTAAAATTGCATTTTGTAAAATTCCATTGTGTATTCGTCTGTTTGTTTGCTTATAGTTAATTTGTGTTCATAGTGGTTATCATTAAATAGTTTAAATATCTATAATTCCTTATGATAAACTCAACTTCGTTTTTTTGTTAATATCTATTATTACTTTTTTAATATATACTATTAGTTATTGTACAGCAATAAATTGTGCAGTAATAGAATGCAATTCATGTGATGCAGAGGAAAAATAAAGAATAATAAATAAATAAATAAATAAATAAGAAGGCATAATTTAGTTCAAATTTAATGTAAAATTTTATAAATATGATTTTTTAATTAAAAAAAATACATGATCAAGAGGGATATTAAATATATTATTTATCAGTTCGTTATGAATAGTTTCCTTTATTTATTTTGTTCATCTCCCTATAAATTTACAATAGATCCTAACTTGGGTATTTCCTGACCCACTAACTCATGCATCTCTACATAATGCGATTAATAAAGGTGGATAAGTATAATAACCAATAATTTTAAGTTATTTTTAAATAATAATGAAAGATAATTTTGGAATTATTAAAACATCAATTATCGTGGGCCTTATGAATAAATCAGGATTCATATTAGTGTATAAATATAACTAAGTGGATACTATTTTTCATATTAGTCTCAATTAATATACGAAATATATGAAGTTTCATTTTCACCATTCACGTTGAGCATTGGTTCCACTCGTGTTGTCGATCAAGGGGCAACTGTATGCCTTTGTCGTAACCACCTCATGTGAGGATTACGAGTGAGTTATACGAGCATAGAGATATATAAAATAATTTTTTTACATAAAAAGAATATTATTTTGAAAATGTTAAAAGTAGAGATTCTCAATGAAAATTTTTCGAAATATATGAGTTTTTTTTTTATTTTAATGCCTTGTGAGATCAAAGACAGTAAGAGAGGATATACAAATACTTGCAAGGGTAAATATGGTAAGTAAATTGAGGGACACAAATGGAATCACAAGAATTATTCGTCCGTCTGATAAGATCACAGCCGTTCATGGTCAGTTACCTGTCTCCACTTCCAATCTCGGTCTCTTGCTCGGCGGAACCACCTCCACCGCTGCGGCCGCGCCAGACGCCGCCGGCACTCGGCGCCGCCGCGACTCCGGCACCTCCTCCTTAGCTGAGTCCCTCTGGATCTCTTCCCCCTCCGCCGCAAAGTCAAGGTTCGGCTCTTAAATCTCCATGCACACAGTGGCTTCTTCCCTTGTTTGGGGTTTACAGAATATGGAGTTTTGCTCCCTCTTTAGTTGCATGATTGGCTGTGTGTTCGCATTCTACTTAAATTTAGTCTCTTAGCTATTTCAACTGGATGCCGGATGAAATTTGGTTATCTTGTTTTAGATACTGATCTAGATGTCGATTTTACTAGGGATTTGTGTTCGTTGTTAGGTCTGCTATGTCTGATACTCAATCGTCTTTCTTCCGTTCGTTTGGGTCAGCAAGCTTCTTTATCTGTCGAGTTCTTTAGTAGTTTCTTTTAGTGTCTATTTTGTGATCCCTTTCTATAGCTGATATGTAGTGTGGAAGTTGTAGTAAATAATTCCTATTGTAAAAGTTATTCGCTGAAGAACTTGATGTTAATCATCCACCTTGGATTTCCCCTGTGATGGTAATTTTTAGAAATGCTGCACTTTTCTATAGCCTGCTAGGGTTTTGCTTGCAGTAGCTATACTTAGAAATCCATAACAGATTCAGAAGTAACTAGTCTATGGGCAGATACAAAAAGTGATATTTGAGAACATACATACGTGCATACATATATACAAAAAAAAATTGCCTTCTTCGGATAATGTTTCATTTAGGTTGGAAAATAGATCATCTAGTCTTCTCCAGGACTTGATAGACTGTACTAACTAATCACAGTTCATTTTGTTTTAGAATGCAGAATTTTCATCTTCATATCCTGCAACACATTGTTTTTTTTTCCTAGTGAAAATACTCGGGTTGGACATGAGTCATTGAGGAAGTTACTTTTTTCTCTACACGGAAACACTCAAAAACTAGTTGAGCTTCTTGTCATTTAGCAAGTGGTGCTCAAGTGTCTGGTGAAGTATCTCCAAAATGGGTTTTTGTTGTACATAATGCTTGACATTTAGCTACTCTGTGTATTACTTGCCTGGCCATTATATATTGTTTTTATGGCACTTAACACATTATTAGTATATGGTGTGTCATTATGTTAATGAGTGTCATTTAGATCTATTTATACTACCTAGGCATAATATCTTTCTGATGATGTGATTTTTTTTTTGCAAAAAGGCTGTTCTTCATTACAATGAAAAAGTTGATGCTTGATGTCATGTTAAAATATCAGTTTTTAAAATGTTTCAGGTTGTTGAAGCATTTTTTTGATATGTAGTCACCTTATTAAAAAAAAGTAATTCAGTAGGATAAGTGCTGGACTTTCTTTGCATTGATGAGATAATTGTGGATGATATGTGGATGTAAAAGAGTGTTTGTTGGCATGTTTATCATATAACCCTTTTTGTCTTCATTCGAGATGACTAAACTTCACTTCAAACAAGAAGCCTAAGGAAAGAATTCAGCAGGAACTTAGAGCCACTTGCAATTCCTGGCTGTTGGTATCTTGTTGCCAGAAAAGATGCATGCCAAGGAACCCAGATAGAATTAGCTGGTCTATGGACATACTATTTACTTGTTGTTTAAGTTTATATATCAAAGAGTAATGTGTAGTTTCACCAGAATAAGAATAGTCTGAGGAATGCAGATTTTCATGTAATACAGAATGCAAATCACTTGATTTTATTATATTATGGAATATAAAAGAAGTATTTAGTTTATCATATTTTGCCCAAAATTTTCACTATCTGTTTTACATCAAATTTATTGAGCTGATTTGCAGCATAATGGTGAGAGGTAGGGATGCTTGTTGGGAACACTGTGTCTTGGTTGATGCAACAAGACAGAAAGTTCGGTGTAATTACTGTCATCGTGAGTTTAGCGGAGGGGTTTACAGAATGAAGTTTCACTTGGCTCAGATTAAGAACAAGGACATAGTCCCATGCTCAGAAGTCCCGGATGATGTAAGAAACTTGATTCATAGCATTTTAACTACTCCTAGAAAGCAGAAAGCTCCTAAGAAGTTGAAGATTGATCATACAGCAAATGGTCCCCAACATAGTTCCTCCTCAGCAAGTGGATATAATGCTAAAAATGCTGGATCTAGTGGGCAACATGGCAGTACTTGCCCATCCTTGTTACTTCCTCTCCCTTCACCTGGTGTACAACCAACAGCAAATGATGCTCAAAAGCAAAAGTATGATAATGCTGATAACAAGATTGCTCTTTTTTTCTTTCATAATTCTATTCCTTTTAGTGCTTCTAAGTCTATTTATTATCAAGCCATGATAGATGCAATAGCAGATTGTGGTGCAGGCTATAAGCCTCCAACTTATGAAGGGCTGAGATCAACTCTCTTAGAAAAAGTCAAAGAAGAAATCAATGAAAATCATAGAAAACTAAAAGATGAGTGGAAGGATACTGGCTGTACCATTTTATCAGACAATTGGTCAGATGGCAGGTCTAAATCACTCTTGGTTCTGTCAGTTGCATCACCTAAAGGGACACAGTTTCTTAAATTAGTTGATATATCTTCTCGTGCAGATGATGCCTATTATTTGTTTGAGTTGCTGGACTCTGTTATCATGGAAGTTGGTGCAGAAAACGTGGTGCAAGTCATAACAGATAGTGCAACAAGTTACGCTTATGCAGCTGGCTTACTCTTGAAGAAGTATCCTTCCTTATTTTGGTTTCCATGTGCTTCATATTCAATTGAGAAAATGTTGGAAGATATCAGTAAACTTGAGTGGGTGAGCACAACTTTAGAAGAAACCAGGACCATAGCTAGGTTTATATGCAGTGATGGATGGATTTTAAGTCTGATGAAAAAATTAACTGGAGGAAGGGAGTTGGTACGACCAAAAGTTGCAAGATTCATGACCCATTTTCTTACCCTAAGATCCATTGTCAATCAAGAAGATGACTTGAAGCATTTTTTTACTCATGCTGATTGGTTGTCATCTGTACACAGTAGAAGGCCTGATGCACTAGCTATAAAGTCATTGTTATATCTTGAAAGGTTTTGGAAATCTGCACATGAAATTATCGGCATGTCTGAGCCACTTCTTAAACTTCTGAGGTTGGTTGATGGGGATATGCCTGCCATGGGATATATATATGAGGGTATTGAAAGGGCAAAAATGGCGATTAAGGCATTTTATAAAGGGTGTGAAGAAAAATATATGTCTGTTCTGGAAATAATTGAAAGAAGATGGAGTACGCATTGTCATTCTCATCTTCATGCAGCTGCAGCTTTTCTTAATCCATCGATCTTCTATGATCCAAGTTTCAAGTTTGATGTCAACATGAGAAATGGCTTTCATGCAGCAATGTGGAAAATGTTTCCTGAAGAGAATGATAGGATTGAACTCATCAAGGACCAACCTGTGTATATAAAGGCACAAGGTGCTCTTGGGAGCAAATTTGCTATTATGGGAAGGACATTGAATTCACCGGGTAGATTTGCTAATTATTTTTTAGAATTATTGGTTATCGATTGCTCTATCAAGTTCAAATTTGTTTCAGAAATATTATTATCACCTTCCTGACATTCTTCATGTGAAACCACAGGCGATTGGTGGGCCACATATGGTTATGAAATTCCTGTCTTGCAGAGAGCTGCAGTGCGGATACTTAGTCAGCCATGTAGTTCATACTGGTTCAAATGGAACTGGAGCGCATTCGAGAACATTTATACAAAGAACCACACCAGGATGGAGCTGGAAAAGCTCAATGATCTAGTTTTTGTGCATTGCAATCTTCGGTTACAGGAGATTAGCCAAAGTAGGGGTGCAAAATGTAGACCTGTTACATATGATGAAATAGATGTGAGTTCTGAGTGGCCAACAGAATCTGAATCTTCATCACTTCTATTGGATGATTCATGGTTAGACAATCTACCTTTTGAATGCTGAGGTAGCTTACCAACTTATGCTTAAATTTAGATGAAGATGGCATTCAGGCAAGATTTGCTAGCATTCTATGTGCAAACAGAACCACTGACACATGCTTAACTAATCTAACGTTGTTCGAAGCCACTAACTAATTTTCTGATATCTACTTATGCATGTTTTATTTTTGTGTTTAAAAACTAAAATTTATTGTAAAAAAAGAGCTGTAAACACATCAAAAGGTATTATGTATGCACATAATATCGACAAACTGTTCTATTTGTATATGAAGATTGTGATCATAGACCCATTTTTTTTTACCGTGTTGATGGAATATCCTCTGGCCTCCTCACTTATGCAACAACCACGGTGAGGAACAGTCTTTTCTCCTTTATTTCTTTGTCCTTTTGAGATTTTCTCAACTGTTCTCTCAGTTTGTTTTTAAGGGTTGAAAGCTCACCGAATTCTTTGTATTGATCATTACAGATTCAAAGCATCATCGGTACACTTGGTGCCTTCCATAGTAAGGGTAACATACTTTATTTCTTTCTTAGACCTTTTTGCTGCATAATGAATATGATTGTTTCAAAATACCCAATGAACAAGTCGGCATCTCAACTCTTCTCATTGTTGTCCTGAGAGGTAAACGTACATTTTTCATCTTTCGGATGCCTGATGTGATTCTGCTGTTTAAATGCAGGTATATTTTGATTTTTCTTTCAAAGAACATGATGTAAAATCTCCTTGTTGACTGTGTTTCAAAATGTTCCAAGTTCCTGGGAGTAAGTTTCTAATGTTAACGAAGGATTACCTCTCATTAACTTGAAACAGTGTCTGGTTCCATTCATTTTCCTTGTGCATTTTGTAACAGTACTGGCTGAATGCAACTTAGCTGGTGGTGGATTTTATTTTTATCTGTAATAATAATAACTCATCAGTTCATGGATTTTTTTCACATCTCTATGCTTCTTGTGAACACTCCTATTTTTATCTTTCTCAGATCTTTGCTTCGTGATGATACTTACACTCATATATGGAAATTTGTTTCCTTTTCTAAATTACAGGAGTCACAGCAGGCAATTCCAAGGAATTGAGATCGCTTGGTGCTTTCAGAAGTTAAGCTTGATGCAAAGTGAAAGCACAACATAGAAACTGGGTGGTATTAAAATTTTCTAGCTTCCCTATATATAAAATATTATTAAACAATATTAAATTTAGTTATATTTGTAATTTGATCATCATATTAAAAATAATAAAAATATAATTTTACTAAATATAATCCCTTAATTATCAATCAATACCCTTAAAATGATATTATAAATAGTAAAAAAAGATTGTAAATGAAAATCTCCAATATTATTTGTACAAGATCATAGAAAATAAGATTTTATTAAAAAAATATAAATGAAAATTTACATGTTCTTAATTTGACTAAAAATTTCTTTGTATACAGAGCTCAACAATGAAAAAATTAATGTAATCAACCTTATATATATATATATATATATATATATATATATATATATATAATGTAACATGGATAATGTAAAGAGAGATGGGAGGCTGATAGCCATTTGATGGTTATAGTAAGTATGGAAAAGGATATAAGACTTGTGGTTGGCGGGGCTTACGCTTCTTCTTACCTCCACAAACACTGGACTTAACCCCTCACCACCTCAACGCCACTCGAATGGAGGAGACAACTTTAAATGCATTCTCATATCGCCCACCCATTTGAAGCGACATCGGGAGGGAGGAGATGTTGATGACCAGGGGAGTCTCCGACGTCTTCCTCGCAGTATCCGCCTCGGCCTCTTCCCGATCCCCGGCTCCCCCGGCCTTAGCGACGGGGCGACGGCTCTTCTCGGCGCTTCTCCCGCCGTCGTCCTCGCTCTCCTCCTCTAACCGCCACTTCGGGCCGCGGCGACGGCTCGGACGCTGGAGTTCGACCATGGCCGCGAGAGCCGCGGCTCAGAGGCTGGAGAACGTCGACGAGCTCATCGATTCTGTCGAGACCTTCCTCTTCGATTGCGATGGTGATCTCCTTCTCCCATCCTTTGTCCATATCGATTCCTAAATGAATCATCGGTCATTAGAAATTCGATTTTGTCCGCCTTGCAGGAGTTATATGGAAGGGCGATAAATTGATCGACGGGGTGCCCGGGACTCTTGATATGCTTAGATCAAAGGTTAGACCGCTGCATCTTTTGTTTGGATTTAGATTCCTTGATGAATGCACACATTGGGAAGGAAATCGATTAGATATGCTTTGGTTCATTGCGTCCAGGGGAAAAGATTGGTTTTTGTGACTAACAACTCCACAAAGTCGAGGAAGCAGTACGGGAAGAAGTTTGAAACTCTTGGTCTGAGCGTCACTGAGGTCTGTTAAATTTTACATGCCCATGTATTTTCGTTTAGTTTTGTACGATTGTGTGAACTGTATGATTTACTAACCTTATGCATGTAATGATGGTTAAATTCGAATAGGAGGAGATCTTTGCATCATCTTTTGCTGCGGCTGCTTACTTGAGGTCCATCGACTTCCCTAAGGATAAGAAGGTTAGCATTACAGCTATTGCTATCTTGGTGAACTTCTTTAAGGAGCATATGTGAGTTCCTTACTGTAGGTTATGCAAGGAGCAATCATCTTAAATCACAGAGGTTTGAATTTAAGAAAACAGTAAATTCTGACCCATAAAGCACCATCTGCTTGCTGGTCATTTGCTAATCATTTTGGAACCCATAGGGCTGGAATGTTTATAGATGACTGGATTGCAGTTTGTAATTTCAGAATTATTAGGCAATTAACTGCTCTGTGTTACTCTAGTAATTGCAGTTCTACCAAGTTTATTAAGACTGCTTATAAGAATTGTGCCTTTGATGTGCAGAGTTGAAATTAAATTTATTCTCCTTTTTTCCACAAACTGGCATATGTTGGACATATGTGCATGATTTACAAAGACCAATTCCATCCTAAACTTTTTTGTCTAAAATTCTGTTTCATAAGTATCTGAAACAGTAAATTCTGACCCATAAAGCACCATCTGCTTGCTGGTCATTTGCTAATCATTTTGGAACCTATAGGGTTGGAATGTTTATAGATGACTGGATTGCAGTTTGTAATTTCAGAATTATTAGGCAATTAACTGCTGTGTGTTACTCTAGTAATTGCAGTTCTACCAAGTTTATTAAGACTGCTTATAAGAATTGTGCCTTTAATGTGCAGAGTTGAAATTAAATTTATTCTCCTTTTTTCCACAAACTGGCATATGTTGGACATATGTGCATGATTTAGAAAGACCAATTCCATCCTAAACTTTTTTGTCTAAATTCTTTTTCATAAGTATCTTCAATGGTCCTGCCTCATTATAACCTGCTAGACCAAACTATTTCGGCTTAACAATTTGATTGTACCATGAAGAGAAAAATGTAGAATGATTTTACAAAATATCTTGGCTTATCCTTTAATATTATGACCATGCCAGCCATGCAATAGTCACCCGATGCAACCGCCCATGTCAATGCCGAAGGATATCAACATCTAGTGACATTTGAATATTGGAACTCTACCCTAATATTAATTATGGAAACATGACCAACAAGAGCAACCTATAATGGCATGCTGATCGTGTTCTGCTTATCAACAACTGATCAGCATGGCTTATGTGCATACTGTGATAAGGAAAGAACATTTGTATCATTTTATCTTTTGCTCCTTCGGTGTTATTCATCATACACTTTGTTAAGTTCCTGAACTGGCCGCTGCAATTTTGCACCAGTTTAATATTTACGTGTTGGGAATATTCCTGTTTGTTAGTCCTGGTAGCCAAGAATCCAAAATTCTACAAGGATTGTAACATTATTTGCATGGATTGATATGACCGCACTCTATCCTTGTGGAGATTAAGCAATCAAAATGGTCTCTTCAAAACTTTTGCAATGGTGTGAGTTTTGGAGGATAACATGAAACTTATGACACATTAATTAGTTCTACATCAGAAGTGGGCAAGACTAAGATTGACTTATAAGGGTCTGATGGATATGTTACTATCAACTTCAGCTAAGTATTTTAGCTAGTGATTTGGGCTCAATAAAGTTGACAGACCAGCTAGCCCATTGGACTCAGGTCATGATAAATAGTATTGGAGTATGGTGAGAGGTTGAGTAGAAAATGACTACAGATGGAGTTAGATGACTCATCACGGGGTGGAGCCATCACTGGGCATGACTAAGATTGAATTATTAGGGTCTAATGAGTGTACTACTATTAATTTTGACTTGAGCATTTGGCTAGTAGTTTGGGCTCAATGAATTTGATAGATCAATTAGCCCATTAGGTCCGGGTCGTGACAAAACTAATACAAATATGGTTTTTGAGACCCAAGTTAATATTATGAATTCATGAAATATTTATAACAGACAAAGTTAGCTTCCCAGAAACTGAATCTAGAAGAAACAATTTGTAATGACAACAATTAAATATCAGGTGTAAGATCTAGCATATACGCTTGTTTAACATTAGTGGTGCATATTTCTGTATTCTACTTAATGTGTTCCAAAATATATATTATTTTGAAATTTTGATTTAGAGATGCATTAAATTAGGCATGGTGAAAGAACTAATGGTTTGGCTTAAGTTATCTTCCGAAATTTCAGGTATATGTGATAGGTGAGGATGGAATCCTGAAGGAGCTAGAGCTTGCTGGATACCAGTATCTTGGTGGTCCGGTATGTTAAAAGTTTTTGTATAACTATATCAGTAGAAATTGTTTTCAACAGATTGCAAAAAAAAAAAAAAACTTATTTTTTGTTCAACTTTGGTAGAGCTTGCTGGACACCAGCATATGTTGCCTTGGACTTTGCTACTCTATCGAGTTCTTATACATCTGATGCTATATAATTTAGAAGTAGATGAGATCATGTTCATCATCTGTTGGTAAAGTAGTTTTCCTTAATTGTAAAGCATCAGCAACTAATTAACAAACATCAGTGAATTAACATTCATATAGATAAAGTGTTAATCAATGAAATTTTGGGTCATACCCAGCATATGTTGCATCTAGATCTTGAGAGGAATTTTAAGCTAGATCTTTTATAAGGCATTTCAGTAATTTTGGATATTTATATTGTTATCTGTTATACATCTTCATTTCCGTAGTTCCTAATTTATTTAAAAAATATGTTAGTCAGTGGATATATTCTTTTGAATACTGCTACAAATTCCTTATTTTTTACATATTGATTCCAAATTTGAGCTAGCATAGATCACAAGTGTAACACCAAATACATACCATCACAGGAAGATGGCGATAAAAAGATAGAGCTGAAACCTGGTTTTTTGATGGAGCACGATCACAATGTAAAGTTCCAACTCTGCAAAATTCTAGGATATATAAGCCCCTTTTTCTGGCCTTAAGCCTTCCTTCTTTGACAATTAATCCAAATAATGATATTTTCATTGCCTATTTACACTGACATTCAACTTGCTTGGTTCCTTTTTCTAGGTTGGAGCAGTTGTGGTTGGATTTGATCGCTACTTCAACTACTATAAAGTTCAGTAGGTTTCTTGTCTGTTTCTCAACCTTTGTCCATTTTATTTTAATTATAATAACTATTGCACAACACAGTGCATGCCTTTATTTTGAGATTCTCCTAGTATAATCTGAGTTTCTGTTATTATAAGCAATCTTTTGATCCATGTATTCTATTCAGAGGGGGAAAAGAACAAAGAGTTACAACCTTGATTAAAAGAAATTTTGCTGAACTCTGCTGATGTATAGTTAAGGTGGTTGGACAGTGAAATTCTTTCATTATTATGTCACTGATCTGATCAGATGATCAGAATTTTATGGGTGAGAAAGTTCTGAATATATTACCATGAAGCAGCAATATGTGAATATTTCAATTGTCATTTAAGAGTTTAGTTGGTAGGTCGGTCCTCATATTGTCATATTTTATATAAATTTCTCTTGGACATCCAGGCTCATCATACATGGATGGCCTAAATTACCTTTTGTATGATACTCAAGTAATTCTCCTTTCAGACTGGGTTATTTAAGCAATGTTAACAATTTCTTATTGATTGAAGGTATGGAACACTTTGTATACGTGAAAACCCTGGGTGTATTTTCATTGCAACAAATCGTGATGCTGTAACTCATCTGACT